CATCAAAATCAGACAGCACGTGGCTTTTCCAGGCTGAAATCTCTGAGTCAACAGCATGCCCGTAAGGGCCCTTTTAGTAGCCTGATAGCGAAGTTCTGTTTATGGCCAGTAATACTCCATTGTCTGTATGGCTGGATGATGTCTGGCTCATCCAGTCTTGTTGAAGGATATCTTGGTTGCTTCCAATGATGAATGAAGCTGCTCTAAACGTCTGTGTGCAGGTTTTTGTGTGACCCCACAACCTTATCTCACTTGGTAAATACCGAGGAGCACAATTACTGGCTTTTCTGGTAAACGTTATGTTTAGCTTGGTGAGGGACTCCCAAGCTGTCCTCCAAAGAGGCTGGACTATTTTGCATTCCTATCAGCAATGGATCAGAGTTCCCGTCACTCCACACTTGTCAGCATTGCTGTGGGATTTCAGCTGTTCTAATAGGTGTGTCTCATGGACGTCTGACTTTCAAATTCCTAATGCCATATGATGTTAAACATCTTTACAGGTGCATTTGCCATCGTTTGGCTTATTTAGTGAGGTGTCTATTCAGATCCGTTGCCCATTTTGCAGTTGGGTTGTTTTTGTTGTTGAGCTTTTATAAGCGTTTTTTGTGTATTTTGGATGCAACTCTTCGATGTTTTTCGAATATTTTCTCCATCTGTGCCATTCTCTTACCAGTGGTTTTTGGTTCTGTTTGGGTAGAGAAAGGGTTTTAAATTTAATGAGGTCTAACATAATTTACGGGTCATGCTTTTGGTGAGGTATCTAAAATCTCTACCCAAACTCTACCAAACCCAAGACCGCTTGGATTTTCTCCTGGGTTAAAGTTGTGGTTTTTTTGTTTGTTTTGATTTTTTAATATTTAGGTCTGTGTTCCATTTCAAGTTAATTTTTTTGAGAACTCTGTATCTGAATTTTTTTTAGTCATTTTATTGGAGGCTCATACTACTCTTACAATCCATACATCCACCCATTGTGTCAAGCACATTTGTTGCCCTCATCATTCTCAAAACATTTGCTTTCTACTTGAGCCCTTGATATCAGTTCCTCATTTTTCCACTCCCTCCCTGCTATATCTGAATTTTTTTGCTATGTGTATGTCCTATCGTTCAGCATAATATTAAGAAGATGGTCCTTCATTGGGCCTCCACTCAAGTACTC